CCCCCCTCCTCCTTCCTTCCCCCCCGACACTTATGGAAGGGGGGCGACTTGTGGGAGGCGCCCAAGTAGGATTACTCCTACTAGGGGTGCCCCTTGCTGCCCCTCTCCCTCTCCTACCTATATATATATAGGGAAAATCCATCCTACCACCCGGGGGTAGTTACCCCACATGTCTCATATACTACCATGTGGTACTATATATACTATTTTATTATTTTAAATATGTTCGTATACTATATCTAAGATATTTCAAAGCAAGTTACATGAAAAAATTGCATATGAGCCCATAGTTTTTGTTATATTTGTAAAATACGTACATATTTGTACGTAAAAATGAGCATACTCAAAAAATGGTGCATACTACCTAAAAATTAGTATATATACTACATAATCATTGTTATATACTACATACTACACGTACATACTCTCGGTTCCGACAGATACTACATACAACATACAAAACGCAAGTGGTGGTAACTACCACTGCTTGTAGGAAACATTTGTCGTGTGTGTGTGTGGGGGGGGGGCGCTAGAACCATCATCATTGATTCATAGCCGTGTGCGGCGCCCTCCTCCACAGTTTATGCCTCCGGTCATATTTACGTAGTGCTTAGGAGAAACCCTTCCTGGATCACTTCACCATCACCATCACCACGTCGTCGCGCTAACGCAACTCTTCCTCGACACTTTGTTGGATCAAGAGTTAGAGGGACGTCATCGAGCTAGACGTGTGTAGAACTCAGAGGTGTTGTACGTTCGGTGTTTGATCGGTCGGAACGAGAATAAGTTCGACTACATCAACCGCGTTAACAAATGCTTCTGCTTTCGATCTACAAGGGTACGTGGACTCACTCTCCCCATCTCGTTGCTATGTATCTCCTAGAAAGATCTTGCGTGAGCGTAGGATAATTTTTGAAATTGCATGCTATGTTTCCCAACAGCTGCTAGGGTGTTGCGATGGGGTCGGTGGGTGGTTGCATTGTTATGGCCACCGGCCTCGACTTGGGCAGGCGTGAGGCGGTGGGCCACGTCATCACTGTTGCCGGTGGTACGCTTGTGGTTGGTTCCGTCATCATGAATTGATGGAGGAAGATCGCCAGCGGAGCTTCTGATTGAGATATCTCCTGGTCCATAATGTCGTCGGCCTCGGAGCTGGGGGGATTCAGGTTCTACCTAGAGGTTGAAATAGTGACTACGTTGATAGGTTGAAGATCGGCGTTTTCGTCCTCATTTGTGAGGCAGAGTGGCCCCTCATTGCAGCTTTCGTTGTTCGAGGACGAGAAGATATCAACCAGATTGGTGTCGTCGCTAGTGTTGAGGTTGGTGATGAGGTAGTCTTCTGGTGTGTGAGTGAGGTAGTAATTGCCGTAGACCATTGTGATGAGTTGAATGGTTGGTGTGGGCTCGCTCGGGTGTATGTGGTCGAGGTGACCCGTGGATCCCGCTGATCCTAACAATGGTGCAGACCCTCCAGATCAAGTGCAGCCGCCACAGGATCCTGCTGAGGATCCTGGAGTGATAGGGTGGGCCGCTGAGTTGATGTTGACCCGGACCGTCTCGTTGACGACGAAGGTGAGGGAGCCGAAGACTAGGCTCATTGCCGGCAAGAGGTCGCCGGGGGATGAAACACATCCGATCCAAGATCGGTCTCTAGCTAGCGCCGCCCATGCCTGGCGCTCCCATTGACGGTGCAAAATACCGTCTGATCCCTCAGTAGGGGTCCGAGCGCAACTGGAAGTCTTAGATCGGAGGTCGCGCAAGGGGTTCATCCAGGTTCAGGCCTCCGGAGAGTAATACCCTCTTGTTTTTGTTATTCATGATGGACGGATACCTCGTGCGAGGGGTTGTAATGGTGTATGAAATCGCTACCGAGAGTTTTTCTATCTAAGAATAGATGGGAACGGAAACTCTAGACCTCCCTTTATATAGGCAGTGGAGGTCGAGGGTTTACATGGGAATGCGATCTGGGACTTCGACGAAGGTCTCCGGCGCTTCCCTAGGGCTTCCTCCTTTTATTGGGCCAAGTGGGCCTCTTGTAGATGTCAAGGTCGGGCTCCATTGCGTCAACCACCCCCGGTGCAGGGCACCGGTCACTGGTGGTAGGATATGTCTGGATGGTAGGTGAAGGTCGTGAGTTCAAGTCGCCACACACACATGACCAATTATTTTTAGTTGTTCCGAAAGTCCCATACATAGTCTATAAAACAAATTTGAGTAGAGCAAGCCTAGCAGAATATCTACGTGGCCCAGTAAGGGAAGCAGACCTGGTGTTTTATCATTTTTACTCAGAAAAAACTGCGGGTTGATTCTACGAATTCTCATGTTTTTTTTTTTTTGCAAAATTTCTGATGGACGGACACAATCAGTTTTGTCTTTATTAGTAGATACAGATAAGATACCACTCCAAAAAAACTAGATATAGATAACATAAAATATATATTTCAATGGATAAAAATGTTTTGCATGGAATTAGTGTGTTCCAACATCTATGAAAAAAGAGTTTATGAATGTTTAATAAAATATACATGCATGCCAAATAAAATGTTGACGCAATTTTCTCAAAACAATTTGTAGGAGAGAAATTGTTAGTGTGTAACAAAATACCTCAAAATATATTTTGATATGCATGGAATATGTTAATGCATTTAAAAAATGTTCATGACGCTTGTTAAAATATTTTGAATTTTACATCATTATGAATGATTTTGAGATATGTTTAGGGCAAATGAATATCTTTCAAGTATCACGGCATCAGTTATGAAAGTTGTTCATGCGTGTGAAGTAAAATATTCATGTGTGTTCAACAGCTGTTCAACTAAATTCAAAAAATCGTTTCAGTAGATAAAGTGTTTCGCATGAGATAAATGTGCTCTACCATCTTTGAAAAAAAAGTGTTCATGCAAGTTTCAACAAAATATAAATGTGTGCCAAGCAAAACGTTCACACCAGCTTTCAAATATTATTCAAATATAAGAAAAATGTTTTGTAGAAAACAAGAACTTAATATATATTCTAGTACTACGCAGTCCATGAAACATTTTAATGTGTTTAAGTGATTGTTCACGACATTATTTAAAGTGTTTTTAAAACAAAATGATAAACTTTGTGTTAAATTTTAACAGTTTTCTTCAACATAAAAGATGATAACCTTTGTGTTCTAATTTTTATCCCATCAACCAAAAAAGGAAAGGAAAAAAAACACGGACAAAAAGCAGCACCGAGGCAGCCAGATCGCCGGTGCTCGCAAGGACCAGGTCGAATCGGAACTACTCCAGGACACGGATAGGGACTCGTACTCTTGCCGGGACTCAGACCCCTCCGTCGTTATCGTTATAAGAACAGAGGCACCCCTTGTTCTCTCCACCAAACGAACCAAACAACAATCCATCGAGCGAAGCAAATCCACCAGAAGAAACACAAGCTCTCGAAACAGCTATCGAAGCAAATCGACATGGCGAGCGGCACGAGGGGTGTCGCCGCGGCGACTATCTCGCTCGCCGTGCTGCTCCTAATCTTTTGCTTCTCGCCAACCACCGTTGCGGCCGCCGGCGTCCCCAGCATCGACGCCAGGCGGACGCGCCACCTGCCGCTGCCACGCGGACTGCTGCGCGGCCCGGAGAGTGTCGCCTTCGACGCCAAAGGCCAGGGTCCATACAGCGGCGTCTCCGACGGCCGCGTGCTTAAGTGGAATGGCGACAAGCTTGGCTGGTCGACGTACACCTACAACCCCGACTACAGCAGTGAGGCGTGCACGGCGTCTCCCCTTCGCCCGGAGACCGTCACCGAGGGCCACTGCGGCCGGCCGCTCGGTCTGCGGTTCCACCTCAAGTCCGGGTACCTGTACATTGCCGACGCCTACAAGGGGCTCATGAGGGTCGCGCCAGGCGGCGGGGAGGCGACTGTGCTTGTCACGGAGGTTGATGGCGTACCTCTCCGCTTCACCAACGGGGTGGACATCGACCAGGTAACCGGCGAGGTCTACTTCACGGACAGCTCCAGCAACTACAATAGGTCGCAACATGAGATGGTGACAAGAACTGGAGACTCAACGGGTCGGCTATTAAGGTATGACCCACGGACAGGAAAGGCCGTCGTGCTCCAGGCCGACATCACTTACCCCAATGGCCTCGCCATCAGCGCTGATCGGACACATCTCGTCATCTCATCGACCGGACCGTGTAAACTGCTACGATACTGGATCAAGGGCTCCAAGGCGGGCACCATGGAGCTATTCGCCGACCTCCCTGGCTATCCAGACAATGTGAGGCCCGACAAGAAAGGAGGATACTGGGTGGCACTACATCGTGAGAAGGCTGAGCTCCCCTTTGGCATTGATAGCCACCTGCTAGCATTGAGGATCGATGTGGATGGAAAAATAATCGAGGAGATGCGGGGACCCAAGGGCGTGAGGCCGACCGAGGTGGTGGAGAGGAAAGGTGGCAGGTTGTTCATGGGATCCGTCGAGCTTCACTATGTGTCCGTCGTCACACGCAAATAAATAGATCAATTAGGATATGTTAATTACTCTCTTTATTAATGTTATTATTTTATTGTTTTGTCGTATTTTAGTTGTAAAATCTATTTGTTAAGTCGAGCTTTCTGTTGTTAAGTGGAGATTTCTGTTGGGCAATGATGATGTATTTTTTAGTATAATGTATCAAATTATCTTTGTTTAAGCGCTATATAGGAAAGTACAGTTGCAAGTTGCAAAGAGCCAAAGACACAAAAGGCACTAGCATTGTTGTGAAATAAATTGCTGGCACAAATAAGACGGTCTAGAGAGGTTCAAGCTAATACTCACAAAAACGAAAACAATCCAATCTTATACAAAAGGAAAAGGATTTGGTAAGAGAAATCAACTGCGGCGAACTGAAAATCATATTCGTACGCGATTTCATTCAGATCAAGAAAAGTCAGTTCACAGAAAACAAGAGGCAAAACATGTTGCACAAGAACATCACAGTTCTTCGATACACTACAAAAGAATCGTCACATTATTCTTCATCGGCACACCAATGACCATGAATGATCCGATCTCCAGATGTATACACAGACTCACCTGCACAGACGAAAAACACCATATACAAAATACACAAGCCCCTACACGGATCAATCCGACGAACCAACTACACACTCCTTTGCTCCCCATCAACCAACGGCCATGTCAGTCCTTCCTACCTGAGCTACAAAGCCGTCACAATGGCAGCCAAGAAAAATGAACATGGGCAGAACCAAGTTTTGATGTTGTGAAGTTTATGCATGTTGTTACTTGTCAGTTGGCCTCAGGGTTTTTCAGCTGATGCCTGTGACGAACAGTACATACAACCGCAGGTCCATCATTTCAGAAAATACTCATGCAGAAGTTTATTATTACTGTTGCAGTTTAACAAATGAATCACCAAACATCTACAACTTCATTAACTAGAACCCCAAGCGCCGTAGTCTAGATTTTGTATGATCTATGCTGGACCGGACCTGAGCGCGTAATCAAGATCAGCTATGAGGTCATCCACGTCCTCAATGCCCACCGATATCCGTATTAGATCATCAGTCAACCCACGCTCCTCTCGCACCGAGGAAGGGATGCTCGCATGCGACATGAAGCAGGGCAAGCTTATGAGTGACTTCACACTTCCTGCATCGTCACGTAGATTCAGTGAGCAAGAATGAGCAAAGTTTCACAGAAAAAGTATTCAGCTAAGAAACTGGTACAGAAATGATCAGTGAGCGTTATTTTTAGTGGATAGGTTTTGTAGAGGTTTTCTAAATGGAATGCATTGGCTGATAAAACGGATACATGGGCAAGACCAAGGTAACTCGGAAAGGAGGGTGTAACAGGTACATAAGAATGCTTACCGAAGCTAACTGTTACGTTGAAGTACTTGGTTGTCTCGACAACATGCTTCGAGAGAGACAATGAACCAGTTAGGAAACTTAGAACAGAGCCTGCTCCCTTTGCCTGCACAAGAAGCAAATGGAAGGGAAAACATATTAGAAAGTGTTCTGGAAGACCTGAAAGCTGGAGGTCCCAATGCCAAATTGACGGATCACTTAGCTGCTTAATGCAGCCAACTTGAAAACTGACAAGGACCTGCGAGTAGTGTAAAGACCGGCCAGGATGATCAGGAAGTCCAGCATAATTCACTTGCTTGACCCTTGGATGAGAAGCTAAGAATTCAGCAATCTTCTGGGCATTATCCTGCCAATAGTAAAGTCAACATCAGCCTCCTAAGAAATTGTCCATAACAAATGAAATGAATCGGAACTATATGAAGTTGCTAGCAGCATTTTATGAAGCCCTCGAAAAATTTCAATAACCAATATGTACTTCAGCAAACAAGTTATTTTATCACAACAAAGTTCCACCTGTTGCTTTTCCACCCGTAAGGCCATGGTTTTGATCCCTCTCAAGCAAAGCCAGCAATCAAAAGGTGCCAAGCCTGAACCTTCAGCGTTTTGTAGAAACGCGATCTCCTTAGCCAGGCTGTTAGCAGTTGGAACAAGTATTAATTTGAGAGATCATAGCTATTTCAGTTAACTCTATAAATTTGAAGGAGCATTTAGTAGCCCTATTCGGTAAGCAACAGAGAAACAGCCTTCAGTGTTTAAGCCAACAGCTCAGAAGCATTCATGTCACACAGTAATTAACAGGGAACATGCAATACAGAGTTTATTTGAAAAAAAATGGTAGCAAGCAGTAGAGTTTACTGGGAGACACAGACACATAACTATGATTATATTATACAAACATTCAAGGATGAAAAATATTTATCATTCAAAAGAGTCAGCGTGGTTATTAGTGATGACAAAGATGACCCATAGAACAGACCTTTCACCCTTTACAGCAAGAATTCCAGCCATAAGATCACTGTGTCCAGCTATAAATTTGGTAGCTGAGTGCATCACAATATCTACACATACGACAAAAGATTGTCGTGAATTAGACTAAAATAATATGCATGAGATGAAATGGTGTTGTTTTTATTGAAGTGATTAAATGATTCTATACCTGCTCCAAGTTCTATAGGCCGGGATAGCACTGGAGACATGATACTGTTGTCCACCAAAACAAGAGCGCCATGAGAATGAGCTATCTCTGAGATTTTCTGTGAAGTACAAAAAACACTGGAGAGGGTAAGAATGTTACCTAAGAGTGTGTATCTGGATTAATCAAATCTTTATATACATTCTTCATGATAACTGAAATGCATACATCAACACCATTACCTTTATATCAGTAATTTGTTGACGAGGATTGGTGGGACTTTCAAGCCAAACTAGTCTAGTCAAGGGTCCGATTGCAGCAGTCACGTCGTTAATTTTAGTTGTATCGACCCGTCTATCATGTCACAATGCATATGATACTTGTAAGTGAGCGAGAGAAAAACAGCAATAGAATGGTTCCACTAAAAAAGGAAGAACTAACTTTACTACAATTCCATTTCTTGGGACAACTTGTGAGAGCAGACGATCAGAGCCACCATATATGTCCTCTCCAGCAACTATTTCTTGTCCTAAGAATTGTGCGTTTGGCCAATGAATTCATTAAGTGCATATAATGGTAATAGGCCTGAAACACGATTGTAAGAAAGTAAATGTCAGCTACTTACCAGCCTGAAGGAGGTGTGTTACTGCAGCCAGTGATGCCATCCCACTAGTGAAGCAGAATGCTTGGTCTGCCTTCTCGAGCTTAGCCATAAGGCTGAATGTGTGATCAAATTTATCAATACCACTGAACAATGGATATATTTATACTGCATACAGTAAATAAAAATAAGCAGTAGACTGAGAGTGACCTCTGGAGAACATCACGAGTAGGGTTGCCACTTCTAGTATAATCATAAGGTCCATTAACTGTTGCTGAAGGCTGGAAAGTAACATTTAGGAGTAAGCTACTAGGAACAAGGGTGCAAACTATGGGCCAGACTAAACTAGGTATACACTATAGTTCTTCAGTCAAACCGAATAACAACTGTTCCAAGACAATTTAACAGTAATGATATTTTCATACTACAATTCCTATATAAATATAAATATGATGATAAGGAAAATGTGTCAAGTTCATTCAGTAATTAGACCGTACTATTGTTTCGAGGGACAAACAAGAAAAAGATGTAATTAACAAAATCAAGATAAGTAAGATACGATGAATTACTACAACTAGGTAATTCGGTTGGCCAACTAAAATTTCAGTAACTCGGTATACATGGTGGGTAACATTTAAGCACAATGTCTCCTCTAGTCTAGTCTACTAGAATTCTTCAGACTTCCAGGCGACTGAGATTTGTCTTACAAAATGATTAACAATCAAACAACTGCAATCAACCAAAAGGTTACATACATGCTTGAGCAATCAATTCCAAACGATAGAAATGCACTAAACCCCTAAACCACCACCTCCTAATATGAAATATCGCCATCATAACTAGTAACAATGTGCTCTCAAACAGAAATAAAGCACATTGAGAAAACATTGATGGAATTTACTTCTACACGGTTGCCAGATGCCACCATCTCTCTGCAACCCTAGCTACCTGCTTGAAGGTGGCCGTCTGGTACAGAGGCGTGCTGAGAGCCCCATACTTGTCGAACGAGTTCTCGAAGCTGGTCAGTATCGTGGCCACGCTCGGCTCCTTCCTCTCCAAACCTACACCAAGAACACAAAACATCACACACTAATTCCACCAAAGCAAGCACAAAGTCCCATCTTATCTTATACAAATTCAAGCTAAAACCGCTCAAACCCACCATCGCCCGAGGACTCGACGGCCCCATGCGCATCCACCGAGACCGCGGACGCGCTCAGGTCGCGCTCGGAGTCGCCGGAGGGCCCGGCGATCGCCGCCGGGGCCGCCGCCATGCGGTGGGAGAGCGCGAGGCGCGGGTAGGCGAGGCGGGGCGTCTGGGCGGAGCTGGGGCTAGGGTTTGGGCACGGGAGGGAGGAGGGCGGGCTGGAGTGGAGGAGAAAGAGGCGGGCGGCAGGGGTGGCGGCGGCGGCCATGGTTGGACAGAGTGGGGAAGCGGGAGGTGGTTTGATAGCGAAGTGGCACCGGGTTGGGAGGGCTGACGGGTGGGGCATTATGGTCAGTGGGACAGATCGTTCATACTTTTGCGGAATTGGATATCGCGTCTAGATTCATTGGACCAGCTTTCCGGTTGGCTAACGGGTAAAATGGGCCGCGCGGGTGCGCATGCCGCGCACGATCGGTCTCGGAGAGCTTTTTTTTTAACACAGTAAATACAGACGCATGCACTCATATATACGCGCATATATTCATCCATATGAATGCACACACACATATCCTATTCTTATGAGCACCTTCGAGAGAATAAGCCGGCATATCATCTTGAGATTTATGAAGTCATGGTAGGTGCTTCGTCTTCGACGGGAACGTCTTCTGGAATAATGCGAGCGCCAGGACTTGAACCCTGGTGGCTGAGGATACTATTGTCCACTAATCATCCAACCACATGTTGGTTCGCTCGGTCTCGGAGAGCTGTCCAAATTTATTATGCAAATAAACAACATTTTTTTTCTTTTTTCGGGCAAACAAACAACCTTTTCAATATCACTTGCTAACCAATTTGATCATGTTTAATTAAGTACCCCATTGGTTCATAAATGTAAGATGTTTTGGCTATTTCAGTACAGACGAATCAATATACACCTCACTTTCATAGCCATACATGTTCTCCCACATTTTATTTTGTACCGTGTTCCAAAATTTCAATCAATAAACTCAAAGATTGCTCCCGCTACCGCGCCGCCCCCGCGGGCGGCCGGCCGCGCCCATCCTCCCCCGCGCGCCTCCCCCTCCCTCTTCCTCCCTGCCGCCATCGTCGGTGCCCGCTGCGAGCCTGGCCCGGGCGACGCTGGTGGCGGTGGCCCCCTGGCCTTTCCCTTCTCGGGTGTCCGGCGGCGCGGGACGAGGCGACCCCAGGCGGTGTCTCTAGGCGGCGGCGGTCCAGCGCGGCGGGGGGATCCCTGGCGCGAGCGGGGGCGGGCTTCTGGCCGTTGGCGGCGGGGCGACGCGGCGGCACGGTCTGGCGGCGCCCGCTCGGCCCAGATCTGGGCCCTTTCGGGCCCCATCTGGGCCTGGGCGGGCTGGCGGGGGGGTGGGTCTGCTTCGTGGCTTCCGGGAGGCGGGGAAGAGGCGATGAGCGGCAGGGTGCTGGCGGCGCCATCGTCGGCTTGCTGCAGCGTGGCGACGGGGCTTAGCGGGCCCGTTTTGGGCCTGGCCGGGCCAGGGGTGGCCTGGCATGCCCTGATGCTGCGTCCGGACGGCTACCGTGATGGTGCCGGAGGTTCTGGCCTCCCGCACGACGGTGGTGGAGGTGGTTCCCTCTCGTTCGACTTCGGTGCTGCTTCTCCCTCCGCGGGGGCTTCTCTCCGGTTCTCTTGGCCTCGTGTTGGTGTTTGTAGTGAGGCGGCGTGGGTGGCGGCGCAACCGCATTGGTGCATGGTGGTGGGCGGCGGTCTGGCTGGTCGGCTCCGGTCGTTGAGCGGTGGGGTTGGAGTGTGGGAGAAATCCTTGTCGGTTCTTCGGCTCTGATGCGGTGACACCTGCGGGTGGCGCCATTCCTTCCTGGAGGGTGTCGGTGATATCCATTCCCCACCTCCCTCCGCGTGCCGGGGGAAACCCTAGGACAAGTCCAGGCAGCAGCGTTGTCGGCGTCACAATCCTTCTTGGAGGTGTTGCTTGGTGCGCGGTGGTTCGGAGCCTCGGGTTGTGCTGGTTTGTTTCTGGAGGGCGTAGCGGTGGCGGGTCATCCGCGCTTTGTCGAGCTGTCATTGTTGGCGTTTGTTTCTCCTTTTTTTTCTTTGGGCTTGATGTGTTGTTCGCCCCAACGTTCCTTGTATCGATGTTGGTTGCTTTAAAATACAAAGCGGGGGAAAAACTTTTTCAGTAAATTTCGGTCAATGGGAGGGTGCAAAGTATATATTGTACTTATAAGATTAACAACTACTTCGTCAGTCCCATATATAAGATGTTTTCGTAAGCCAGTTTACCATGCAAAAGCAACTTATATTGTCTTATATTGTGAGACGAAGGAAGTAGGTCTTATGAAAAAAAGTTCAATAGGCTACGAGGAAACTAGGTACTCCTTCCTATCCAAATTAATTGTCGTAGCTTTAGTACAACATATACTAAAGCTGTTGCGGCAACTATTGAATCGGAGGGGGCATTACATTTGATTCTTTTGTCACAAGTCTTGTACCTTCGCTATGATACGGTTACGATGCAATACAAATAGGACGCCGATAACTGCCACACGTGTGGTATATCGGGTGGTTGTGCCGCACGCCTCGTGTGGCATGGAGAAAACCCGCCCGCACGACCGCATCGGGCGCGCGCAGCCACAGCCCGCACATCCGGTGTGTGGCAAAACCGCCCACACGTCCGGGCCAGATGACCGCGCTGCCCCCATGACCCAGCCATCCCGGCCTTTCGATCCCCAGTCCGAACTGCTGCCATCGTCTCCCACCTCTCGATCCCCTACCTCCATCATCGTCCTTCTCTGGTTGCCATGGCAACCAAAGCAGATCCGTAGGGCCTTCCCACCGCTAACCACACCCCCTCCCCCCCCACTCCAACCCCGCCCTCCAAAGACGACCAGCTAAAAACAGGTGAATCTTCGATCTCCTACTGTTTCTCGTCCTTCTTTTGGCCAGAAATTAGAAATTGCAAATTTACCAAGAAGATGGTGACTGGATCCATGCTATCGGGGCAAAACACCACACGGCTTGTGTATATTCGCATTTGCCAACCATCATACACCAGATATGCCATGTACTACGCTAGAGTTGAGCTTAGGTTCTCGGTTGGCTTGGTGCAAGTAGTTGGTAATAAAGGATGCGTAGGAATCCCTAAAAAAGGGAGAGAAAGGAGAAATTTGGCATAGGGGGTAGGAAAAATAGTTGCCACTTGTGTCTAACATCAGTTGCCACCTATCGTTGCCGTTAACTGCCACCATGTTAACCTGTTGCTTGCCATCCTATTGTAGTGGTTGTTGCCATCGCTTCGAAAAGATAGCTGGCACCCAGATTTCAGAAAAGATAGTGGATGTGCATGTCCTACTTGCCACGATGTGTTGGTTGCCTACGCAGGAAAATGTGATAAGATTGTCGTGTTATCTTCTACGTGCAAACAACAAAAAATGCATTTTTTGCGAATTGTTGATGCGTTCTTGTTCATGCAGTGATTGAGAACACATTGGCAGAAACAAAACACGGAAAGAATGAATCACGAAGATGGCACTGATCCTTGGGTTTCTCAAAGGCCAGAAATGCCCCCTTGGGATGCAGTAGAGTACAGTCAACTCATTTCTGCAGGGTCGTTGCTGCCACTACTAGAGTAGTACGCAGGAATTGGTATGATGCATGATAACAAGAAAAGAACATTTGCCATGTTCGCGACGATGAAGATGACATTCTACTTATGTCCTACAATGTCAATTTTCCCAGGTTCTTATGACCAAAACACATTCAGGGGGGCACCATGGCAAGTTCAGTCACAGGGCGTTAACACTGACAAATGTATGGGCAACCAACTTCAACTAGCTAATGTGGCAAATCAAGGTAACGCATACAAAAAAGAAACATACTGGTGTGGATTTGAAAATTAAACTTGTAAAGGATGGCAAAAGACTCACGAGTTATATCGAGAAAAATGTAGGACCTTCATGCAGCACGTGGCATCAGGCGGCAACCATGTACCTGCCATTGACGTCATACACAGGTGAGTCCATAAAAAGTGAAATTGCGGACGATAAATTAGCAGAAGGAACATGCCTAGACAACTACAGTTGCCATGCCTGGACAACTGCAGTTGCCATGCCTGGACAAACTGCAGTTGCCATGTATGATCAAATGTGATTGCAATGTATGATCAAATGTGATTGCAAGTGTGAACAAATATGTGTGGCATGGTTGGACCACTACATGTGCCATGTTGAAGAAACTATAGTTGCCATGCAGTGACCAACTACTACCATGATTATAGGTTGTTACGGTGGGACTAGATTGGCAAACGTCTCATGGCAAGCTTCATAGTTGCAGGACAGCGCTATTGCAGATAGAGCACATCAAATTGGAATGACAGACCACACAAGATGGGCACATGCGGCACAACAAGGTAAGAAAATTTGAACCACAAAACAGCACTGCATTTGTTTTTGTGGGAATAGCATGTGAGGAAAAGGAGATTTGTAATGGTGGTGGTGGAAAAAAACAGAAAACGCTAACAAGTGGTCGTGTGCAATGAGTCATATATTGTCTTCGGGATTTGCCAATTGCTAAAAGAGTGTGTGCAACACTAATGATTGATCGCATTTGCCTAGTGAGCTCAAGCCTAGAATACAAAGTTTTGATGCTAGAATATACTCGTTGCCGTGTATTGCCAGCAGTAGTTGCCATGTATGTTGGACTGCAGCTGCCATGGATATAGAATCCAAGTTTTGGTACTGAAAGAAGCTGGTTGCCATGCATTGGCAATAGTAGTTGCCATGTTTGTTGGACTGTAGCTGCCATGACTGGAGAACTACAGTTGCCATGCATGTCCATATGCAGACTCACGGCTTGCTGTGTGAACGATGTCATGCCAAATCACATGCAGTTGATGTACTCCGTTACGATAAACATGTCATTCAAGCAAAATCTTACGCTCGTACATGTTTTTTAATTACAGGACCTTCAACTACAATCAACAGCGGCGCGGGGACATCTACTACGGGGAGCTCTGAGCGCACGGAAGACGCGTTCCACCAGCCAGCCAACAATTATACCATAAACAATGTTGAGTCAGTGTCGAAAATGGCAATCATTCTAGCAATGCCGACAAGCACACCTTTGAACACCAGCACTGGCAACACTCAAGTAGATGAAACTGTCGCCGATACTGAAGTGAATGATGAAACTGATGATGAAGCACAAGGGGATGAAGATGGTGGGCAATCAGAAATCATGGTACCTCAGCCACCGTACGTTGGGCAAAGATTTGATTCGTTCGCAGAAGCAAAGGAATTCTACCAGACATATGCAAAGTTCCATGGGTTTGCGGTCAACACCGAATACCATAG